GGCTGTATGGATCTTGACTTTGCATTAAGAACTGAACAACCCCAACCTCTCAATGCGGATAGCACTCCTGATGCAAAGAAGGAGTATGAGAAATGAGAGCGTTCAAATCGCATGAGTCTCATGATCATTAAGCGTGGCGTTCCGGAAGCCTTCAGGGGCATAGAATCCGAAGGGATTACTAAGGCTAAAGATTTCCTTACCGAAATTAAGAAGCTTTTTGCGAAAAAACGATAAGGTAGAAACAAGCACGCTTTTAGCTCGCTTGATTTCGATGAAGTATAAGGGCAAGGGAAACATCAGGGAGTACATTATGAAAATGTCTCATATTGCTTCAAAACTTAAGGCACTCAACCTATGTGATGAGTTACTCGTGCATCTGGTTCTGTTGTCTCTTCCTGCACAATTCAATCAGTTTAAGGTCAGTTATAACTGCCAAAAGGAGAAATGACTCTGAATAAGCTCATTTCATACTGTGTGCAAGAAGAAGACAGGTTGAAGCAAGATAAGACTGAAAGTGCTCATTTGGCCTATGTCTCTAAGGATAAGGGCAAGAAAAGGAAGAATGATAATGAAGCTGCTAAGGGTCCGGTTCAGAAGAAACAATATAAGGATGGTCAGGGTTGTTTCTTCTGTAACAAATCTGGACACGTAAAGAAGGACTGTACCAAATATCATGCCTGGCGTGCTAAGAAGGGTATGTTCCTTACTTTGGTCTGTTCTGAGGTTAATTTAGCTTCAGTACCTAGAAACTTGGTGGTTAGACTCTGGTGCTACTACTCACATAAGTGTTTCTATGCAGGGTTGCCTGAGCTACCGAAAGCCAAGTGATGTTGAAAGACACATCTTTGTGGGCGATGGACAATCGGTAGACGTGGAAGCAATTGGGCACTTTAGGTTGCTGTTAGGAACTGGTTCTTATTTGGATTTGAAAGATACTTTTGTAGTACCGTCTTTTAGACAAAATTTGATTTCTGTTTCTGTATTGGGCAAATCAGGTTATTCTTGTTCATTTGGAAACGATCAATTCAGTTTATTTTTTAACTCAAATGTTATGGGGACTGGTTACTTGAGTACTTATGACAATATATATTTGCTTGATACAATTGCTTCTTATAATAAAACTTTGCATGTGGAATCACGTGGTACTAAGCGTAAATTAAATAACAAAAATTCGGTGATATTATGGCATAAACGCTTGGGTCATATCTCAAAAGGTAGAGTTGAGCGTCTTGTGTCTGATGGCATTTTGGATTCCCTTGATTTTTCGGACTTCGACGTATGTGTTGAATGTATCAACATTTTAAATTCCCTTGATTTTTCGGATTTTGACGTTTGTGTTGAATGTATCAAGGGAAAACAGACCAAAGTTAAGAGATTAGGTGCTAATAGAAAGAGATTAGGTGCTAATAGATCTTCAGAAGTCTTAGAATTGATACATACAGATATTTGTGGGCCATTCTCTACAGAATCTTAGAATGGTCAACAATATTTTATATCATTCATAGACGATTACTCACGTTATGAATACCTATATCTCATTCATGAACAATCTGAGTCTCTGGACATGTTCAAAGCTTTTAAAGCTGAAGTTGAGAATGAACTCAACAAAAGAATTAAAACCGTTAGATCTGATCATGGTGGTGAGTACTACAGCAGATATGATGGTTCAGATGAACAACGTTCAGAACCATTTGCTAGATACCTAGAGGAATACGGTATCGTCCCACAGTACAATATGCCAGGTTTACCTAGCATGAATGGTGTAGCTGAAAGACGGAACAGGACTGTTAAGGATATGGTAAGAAGTATGATTGCTCATTCTTCTTTACCAGAGTTACTCTGGGGAGAAGCACTTAAGACAACAGCTTACATTCTGAACAGAGTACCAAGTAAAGCAGTTGCTAAAACACCTTATGAGCTTTGGACTGGTCGAAAGCCCAGTTTAAAGCACCTACATATTTGGAGATGTCCAGCTGAGGCAAGGCCTTATAGGCCAAATGAAAAGAAATTGGACTCCAAAACAGTTAGCAGCTACTTTATTGGGTACTCAGAACGCTCTAAGGGCTATAAGTTTTATGATCCCACACTAAGGAATATTTTTGAGACGGGGACATCAACATTCTTTAAGGATGTTGAGTTTGGGGGGAGAAATAAGGTTAGAAATATTGCTTTTGAGGAGGAATTGGTTTCAGATCCAATTCATACAGTCACTTTTGACGATATTCAGGTTCATATACCTGTTATTGATCAAGAAGTGAATCCGAAACCTCAAGAAGACAATATTAAACAACTCCCTATTCTAGAAGAACAAACTCAACAATCTCAAGAACCAGTGCCATTAAGGAGATCCACGAGAGAAAAGAGAAATGCTATTCCGGATGATTTTATTGTATTTCTCTAAGAACATGTGGAGAGTAATGGAATGTTAGAAGATGATCCAATCAACTTCCTCCAGGCCATGAAAAGTTCTAACTCTCAACAGTGGATTGATGCAATGAATGAAGAGTACAAGTCTATGCAAGGCAATAAGGTTTGGGAACTTGTCTCATTGCCAGAAGGTGCAAAACTAATTGATTGTAAATGGATATTTAAGACCAAGTGGGATGCAAATGGTAATATGGAGATGTATAAGGCACATCTTGTAGCTAAAGGTTATACTCAAAAGGAATGCATTGATTATACAGAGACTTTATCTCCGGTTTCATCGAAAGACTCTTTTAGAACAATCATGGCGTTCGTTGCTCATTATGATCTTGAGTTACATCAGATGGATGTTAAGACTGTATTTCTCAATGGAGACATTGATGAAATGATCTATATGGTGCAACCAGAAAACTTTGTGTTAGGAGACCAAAAGAATATGGTTTGTAAATTAAGAAAATCTATCTATGGACTCAAGCAAGCTCCACGTCAATGATATCATAAGTTTCAACAAATAATTATCTCGTTCGGTTTTGAGATGAATGTTGTTGATGGCTGTGTATATCACAAGTTCAGTGGGAGTAAGTATATTTTTCTGGTTTTGTATGTCGATGACATATTGCTTGCAACTAATGATATAGGCATGTTGCGCGAAACCAAGAGATTTCTATCAAAGAATTTTGAGATGAAAGATCTTGGGGACGCCTCTTTTATATTAGGAATCCAGATACATCGAGATCGTTCTCGCGGTGTACTTGGATTATCACAAAAGAGCTATATCGATAAAGTACTCAAAAGATTTGGCATGCAAAATTGCAGACCAGGTGACACCCCTGTTGCTAAAGGAGACAAGTTCAATCTCAATCAGTACCCTAAAGAAAACCTTGAAATTCTGGAAATGCAGAAGATTCCTTATGCTTCGGCTGTAGGAAGTCTAATGTATGCTCAGGTGTGTACGCGCTGGATATTGCGTACATTGTTGGGATGTTAGACAGATACTTAAGCAACCCTGATATGGATCATTGGATAACAGTCAAAAGGTTTATGAGGTATCTTCAGAAAACAAAAGATTATATGCTCACATACAGAAAATCAGATCAGTTGGAGGTCATTGGGTACTCTGATTCTGATTTTGTTGGATGCTAAGATAGCAGAAAGTCTACATCAGGATATATTTATATGTTAGCTGGAGGAGCTATATCATGAAAAAGTGTTAAACAGACACTCGTAGCTTCCTCCACTATGACAGCAGAATTTATAGCTTGCTACGAGACATCAAATCATGAAATATGGTTGCGAAATTTTGTCACTGGACTGTACATTTTGGAAAATATTGAAAGACCACTAATGTTATTTTATGATAATAAATCAGCGGTCATATATTCCAATAACAACAGGAGCTCAACTAAGTCAAAACATATTGACATTAAGTTCTTGATTGTGAAAGAAAGGGTACAGAGTGGACAGATATCCATAGAGCACATTGGAACAAACTCCATGATAGCAGATCCTCTTACTAAAGGGTTATCACCCAAGTTCTTTCATGAGCACACTGCTCATATGGGTGTGATATTATTCGAGGATATCATGGTTTAGTGGGAGTTTGTAATTTTTTGATGCTTTGTGTTTGGTTGTATTGTCTGATCAGAATAAAATATTCAGTTAAGACACTCTGTTACATTATGTTTGGTTTTGCCCTCACTAAAGTAGGACCAGTTAAAAATAGACATGTACTGATCACATTGCATGTAATTTTCATGCTGCACATCCATGATTGATCTATATCATTTGATTGTATTGTTATATGTGACCATTGATGGGTTTAGTCACGATAAATGTGACGAATGCCGCTTTGATCCTATATTAATATAGTTAATGGACGAGATTGTTTGGAAATACCCTTATTTGTGATAGAAATTTCTGAGCTCATAAGGTTGTACACATTTTAATGAAACATATAGTGCCCAAGTGGAAGATTGTTGGATTAAATCTAATTGTGGGCATATATGTTACATTAGTGTATAGTGCTATCCTTAAGGTTAACCCGAATAAAGTGATCAATTAAGTCAATTGGGTTAATGGGTATTTAAATGTGTCATGGACTAATTGTGCAGATACCAGACTGCAATTCTAATTTTATGAGGGGCTAAGTTAGAAAATTGCAAATCTATATAAATGAGTTATGGTCCCTAATTTAAAGATTACGTTCTCTATTCTCTAATCCCCATCTTAAGAGAATTCTTAAAGAGAAACCTTTCAGAGTAGAAGATCAACCCTAATTCAGATCCTTGATCGAATCTTCTTGGATTCAGGTATTGCTTCCGCTCTCATGTTAATATCTATGAATTAGTCATAAATTAAAGTTTCTACAAAAAGCACACAGAATAGCACTCATATTTGTTCTCGATGACTTGTCAAAAAAGGTTAAAATGAAGGGGGGAAAAGAAAGGGAAAAAAAGGAGATGAAATGATGTCAAATGATAACACCAATTAATGTAGTTAACTAACTACAGTAAGAAATTAAAATATGAATTAGTAAGAGAACACATATCATCAAGAAGATAATGAAGAAAACATGCCTGAAAACACCATCAGAATCGAGTGTTGCCCTCTGGAAATGATCTTCTGTGATTTGCACCGAGGATACAGTGAACAACTCGCTGTTGTTAGCGCGAGCGAGGTACAGCTTTCCAGACTGACCAAACACAAGTTGAACGTGTACTGAACCCCAAGTGTTACTAGCCCAATAAGCAGGCCTATACCGGAACGCAGTAGGATAAGCTAAAGAATACAACACGAGATTTCCATCAGGCTGCACACCTAATTCAAATCTTCCACGTGAATAATCGCTGTCGGTAAGTCGTGCATAAAGACTAGTTCCTTCTTGTAGTACTTGGCCAGGCAGAATAGTATCAGTCGGATTGTCGAAGGTTTGCCATAGTGTGCTTGAGTTTGAGCTCACTAGCATGAAGTTGCCTGTGTCGAGCATGGCTGCAGATGTTGCAGCAGTGACACTGGTGTTCCAAATTTCATTGCCTGTAGGGTCAGTTTGGAATGATTCATTTGACGCTGTGTTTGGATGCAAGGAATTGATTTGCATATGTAGAATTTTATTTCTAGAATCTGAAATTTGTAAATTGAAGAAAAGCATACACTCAAATACGAACATATCGAGTTATACATAAACATATTCGAAAAGAAAATATGCGCTGTTGCTAGAAAAGTTCTCTATTTTTAGGCTTAATTGCGGATAAAACCTCGGTACTATCACCAAATTGCAGACATACCCTCTACGCTTTTATTTTTGAAGATAGACTCCTTATAGATTCTCAAGCCTGTTAGTTTCACAATAAGATTGAGCTTCATAATTAACTGATTTACTCACTACAAACTTGCATAATTGTCATTCCACATAACTAAGGCTCCGTTTGGATACCATGATATTTTACTTGGTTCTATGGTGTTTTTGTTAAAAATAAAACACCATGCGCTTAGAAACCATGGTGTTTTTTGAGCTAAATCATCCTCAAACCAAAAACACAACACTTATATCAAAACACCTTTTAGGTGTTTTAAGTTTTATGTTTTGGTTTTGAGTTTGAGAATGTGTTAATATAATATCTAACATAATATATTAAATATAATTAATATAGAGTTATTATCAACATGCTTATTATATTATACTATACTTTACTATACTATATTATAATTAATTTAATATATTAGTAATATTTATTAAATAATATAAAAATATAATAAATAAATTATCTTATATAAAAACATATTAAATACCAATATTTTATATGTTAATAATGTATTATATAATAAGTAATTAATAATTAAATATAAATAAACTAATAAATAATAATAATAAAGTTATTGGTAATAAATAAAAAAATAATATATTTATAATATAATAATATTTATTTATATCATAAATACTAATATATTATTAAAGTACTATTAATAAACTCTAACATATTAAAAACTATAATATATTATATAATATTAAAATATTTATAATATATTAATTTATTAATAACGTACTAGTAATAATATAATATTAACATTATTAATAATATTATATTATATGAATAATAGTATAATATTATATTAATAATAAAATAAAATTATTATAAAAATATTAATATAATATGCAACAATAACAAATTGATATACCAAAATAATTAAATATATAATTATTTAAAAATAATATGTAATAATTATAATATAATATAACTCATTAAAGTATAATATAATATTATAATACATTATACAATATTATATTGCATTATATTTAATACTTATAATACTATGATAATGTAAACTAAATATTATACTAATGTTATAATTGATCAAACTAGTGTTGACAAAAAATATTTAATAAGATATTTTGAAAATATTTTAAGGGAAAAACACAACAACACAGTGTTTTTTTACAAAAACACAACAAGGATCCAAAGGAAGCCTAATTTAAATGGAAACGGTAACCCAGTTGAGAACCCAAGAGGTCTATCTGCGACCACAGAAGTAGTACAGCGATATCTATCGGCAGTTTGGCCAAAGGAAGGACGTCTTTGCTTTTTACTATTTAGGATCAACAATGCTATAAAATCCAATTTGAAGAATTTCTGTATTTACTTGCCTGCGTGGTCTCGGAGGGAAAGCCGGCCATCTTGAGTGAACACGGCCTTCGACTGATTATTAGTGGTTTTGCCTCCATTTGCGGTCCAGACTACGGTTTGGTTGGGGACTTTGTTGAAGAAGACGGCGAGGAGGAATTGGGTCGGGTCGGATTCAAGAGGACGGAACCCGAAAGCGAAGTCGCCGGAAGGGGAGAGCCAAGATGTGGGTGGAGTCAGAGGGGTCAAGGTTTCTCCCAGGGTGATGTTGGTGTCAGCTTGAGCTGAGAGAAAATTTGAGAGGAGAAAGAAGAGGAGGAGACGAAGGAAGAGAGAGGACATTTTTTTTTTCGTCGGGGACGTATTCTGTTGGTAAAGTGAGAGGGCGTTTTGTATTTAATTGGGAGTTATTGGTTGACTTGCAAAGTATTGGAGGTTGATGGCTGATATGGAAAGACTTTTTTTTTTTTTGGTTTTTGCCTCTAAGTCCGAAGCTTTTACTGTGATTTACTCTTGGGTCCAAGTTAATTTATTTTTACCTAAAAACCCAAACATGTATGTGGGTCTGTCTTTCAACCCAATCTCCCAAATAAACTACGTTAAGTATGTAGTGTTGGATAGCAGGTTTCTAATCTGTTTTGGTAACAGGTTATTGAGATTCCTAATCTGTTTTGGTAATAGGTTATTAGGATTCCTAATCTGTTTTGGTAACATGTTATTAGGATTCCTAATTTGTTTTGATTTTGGTTTTAGAATTCCTAGTATGTTTTTGGTTTTAGGATTTCTATATATATGGAACGATTAGAAGAGAGATTAGTAAGAAGAAAATTAGGGATATTTGGAGCACAGAAAATAGGTATTTTCTGAGCTATTGGTTAGGGTTTTGTTTGGAGAGAATTAGAGATTTGTTGGTGAGATTAATTGGTGAGTTTGAGTGATTTATAATTTCAGTTTGTACTCTTTTTCTCTATTAGTGATAAACCTTATCCCCTTCTTGCCCCGTGGACATAGGCAACTTGCCGAACCACTTTAAAATTGGCTGTTTGTGTTTGTGGCATTGATTTGGTTCGTTTGGCCTTCTCTCGACGATCGCTTGATTTGATTTCTCGTAGCATGTTGGTTTGGTTGTTTGGTTTCCGCAGCGCACAACAAGTGGTATCAGCGCTCGGGCTACGCTTGGGCTATTTGGAGGAGTAGGTCGTTTTGGAGGCTCACCTAGGGCTTTGTTTGGTGATAAAGGTGAGATCTTTTTGGTAAAGGCTCAATCTTTTTAGTTTTGGATCTATTCTTCATTTGTTCCACATTTGTTTTGGTGCCTTGAGAAAGATGGTCGGGAAAGAAGAAGTTGTGGAGGATACTTCCGGCGTGAAGACAATCCAAAGTTTGAATATTCACTCTATGAAGATAGATGTGGAGAAGTTTAATGGCACAAATAATTTTGGTCTTTGGAGATGTGAAGTCTTGGATGCGCTCAATGCGTAAAATTTGGAAGATACTTTGGAGTTGGACGAGAAACCGGACGACATTGAGGAGAAGGTTTGGAAAAAGATGAATAGAACGGCGTGTGGTGTGATTAGATCTTGTTTGACTCAAGATTTAAAATATGATGTGATCAATGAGACTTCGACTAAGAAGATTTGAGAGATCCTAGAGGGCAAGTATTTGATCAAGAGTGTAGAGAACCGCTTGTATTTGAAGAGGAGGCTTTATCGCTTCCAATTGAAGAAGGAGACCTCCATTGGTGATCACATGAACCACTACACGAAGCTTCTTGCGGATTTGATGAATGTAGATGTGATGATTGAAGATGAGGACAATGCGTTGTTGTTGTTGAGTTCCTTGCCTAACGAGGAATATAAGACCTTCGTTCTTACTCTTATTAATGGGAAGACATCTCTTTCTTATAGTGAGGTCACCGTTGCACTTGTGAATTATCAGCTTCGAAAGAAGGATAAGGAGACTTCAGTTGAGCCGGTAGCGGGGGCATTGGTCGCAAGAGCAAAGAGTCCAAACTGTGGTAGGTGATCGCAGTCTAGAGGGGCATATCTTGGATTTCGTAGGAATCAATATGCCTTTTGTAAAGAGGATGGACATTAGAAAGCCGAATGTCCAAAGTTGGTTGATCGAGCCAGGAAGAATAAGGGGAAAGCTATTCAAGCTTCAGAGGTGAATGTTGTCAAGGCTAGTGGTAATAATTCAGATTCGGATTCTTCGGGCTACTCGTTATCTGCACTACCGTCAGTTTGTGTTGCCGACTGTACAGAGTGGATGTTGGATTCGGGTACTTCTTACCATATTTGTCCTAGGAGGGATTGGTTCTCCAGCTTTCAGGAGTTGGAAAGAGGGGAGGTCATGCTCATGGGTAATGATTATAAATGTCCTATTGGTGGTATCGATACCTGTAGGCTGTCTAAAAATCACAATAGATAGCTGATCCCCATCAAACTTCAATGAGGAGAGTTACAATCCGACGACTCCCATATCTCGATGATGAAAGTTACAATCAGATAACTTTCATGTTAACAAATAAAAACTGCAAATTGAGGACTTTTCACATAGATCGAGAAGAGTTACAAATCAACGACACTTCCGACAATTGATGAAAACTTTATTCAGTGGTCTTCACAATCAACTGTGAGAGTTACAATATAACGACTTTCACACCCCACAATAGCTAAAGCGAGGATTACTGAACAATGGTCCTTGCAACGCTCTACAGAAGAGATTACAAGTCAACTAACCCCTTCTAAACGCAGAATTCATCTTCGCGTTTCAATTCTTGAAACGTAGGCGACCCCCGCGTTTCTAAGCTGCAACAAGCAAAACGCGAGTGGCCCTCGCGTTTTTGACGTTCAGTCACCACCCAACTCCGCGTCTCAACCCTAGGACGCGGAGTTAGGGTCCTGAACGCCAAATTGGGCGTTGGACTCATTCAAACATGAGTCGAACGGTTTCAGAACCGTTTTCCCCACGATCTGAGGGGCGGATTAAGAGGACAGTTACAACCCCTTATCCTCCTATAAAACCTCAACAAACTCAACAGAGAGGAGGTTCGGATTTTCAGGTGAGATCTTTTTGATTTAGGATCAGGCTTTTTTTTTCACAAGAGGCCAGGTCTTTCCTCATCGGAAAAACCGCACAAAGGCAGTTCCGGTCGGTTTTGGGAAGATCTTCTAGTGATTGGCTAAGGACGAATCTTGGAGGAGATTGGCATCTTTGACTTCAACAACAAACAAATCTATTTGACTTCTTAACCGATTATTCGGTTTTAACAACTCTTTCCACAGAGTTTTAACTCGTTCTGAGTTCTTAAACTCGTTAAGAGTTATCCATCAAACTTATTACATAAGTTAATTTTTCCCGCGAGACAAGACGGTCGGATCGTCAATGGAGAGCAAATTTGACGCAAGCATTCGAAGGAGATACTCCATCGCTACCGTGAAGAACCCAGAATTAAACAAAGGGGAGAATCCAGATCATTCTCCTCTCTTTTGTAATCAGAAATTCAAATTGTAATTGAGATCGAGAGAATACAAGTCAATTTTCTTTCATTCTTTTTACTGCAAATTTTCCACCAAACAATACCGTTCGGATTAGGATGAGTGACGGAGTGATTTGGGAGTTGGTTGGAGTGAGGTTCGTTCCTCAGTTGAAGAAGAACATCATTTCACTTGGAGTTTTAGAGGCAGCATGCTATAGGGTGACCTTGGTTGATTCACATTTAAAGGTCACATTGGGGTCCATGATTGTGATGAAGGGCGTCAGGAGGAATAATTTGTATTATTTGATTAGGAGCACGGTGTTTGATAGAGAGCTGACGACTTCTTTGGATTTGGCTAGACTGTGGCATTTATTAAGGCTGGGTTATTTGATTGGTTATGCCGTGCATGGTTTGTTAAGGGATGCTTTGACCTGCAGATTGAAGTCCTTTTGAGAACATTGGTATGAGCAAGAAGACCAAGGTGGAGTTTGGCACTTCTATCCATCGATCGATGAGTCTTTTAGGTGGTGTTCAGTCACCCATTTGGGGGCCTTCTAAGGAGGCATCTATTAGACCCTAGAGGGGGGGTGATTAGGGTCTTATGCTAATCTAATCCGATTTTATACTAATTAAAAATAATTAATAAGTTATCCTAGCAAGTATGAAATACAACAAGATATATGAGCTAGGATAAGCAATATGAACTAAGGGATATATCCTAGCAATGAGATATATTATGAGATATATGCAATGATATGCAAATCACACCATGGTAAACAAATTAAACTAGATAGTGGGTTAAATAAACAATGAGCAATACACAATGGTGATATAAGATATGAGCATGAAAATAAGTGCGCCAATGTAATCACAAACAAATGATATGTTCACGGAGTTCGCTCCCCACGACCTACGTCTCCGCTCCTCACCTCGAGGAGATCTCCACTACACACTCAGTTTTCTAGCTAACCGAAAACTTTAAAATCTCACAATATAATAAATGATTTGTTCTCTACAATAGATGAGAACTCAATGTAAGCTCACACTCAATTGTTACTATACTCACCAACCCAATTATACTATGTATGAAAATACAATAAGCTCAATGTGGGTGTGTGTAAACAATGAGTGAAATTAAATCAACTAAACTCAAATATAAATACTAGCTTAATAGAATGATAATCAATTAATATAAAAGTAAAGCTAGATTGAGTTTAGAAAAGTTCTCCAATAAATGACAAGAGTGAGAGAGAGATGATTTGAAGCTCAAACACCAAGTGATGATCTCTTCTAAGAGAGAGATGATTTGAAGCTCAAACACCAAGTGATGATCTCTTCTAGCTCTTGTGAAATTGATTTCACAAAATTAAACTCTCAATTGCTTAAAAGCTTTTAAAACTTAAACCAAACATAAACCCTTGTTTAAAACTTTCTTAAACTTGTTTAAAACACTCATTGTTATCTAAAATAGTTAGGGCAAAGGGGTATATATTGTTGGCCTCTTTGTTTTGATGATGTTTAACAAACAATTTACTACTAATGTTGTTTGTCTAGTGTTTGTACATTCTTATATATTGTAGACAAACAACGTTGTTGGTGGTTGGATGGATTGCGCCATAATGATCATATCAAGAGGAGGTTGGCGGAATTGTGGAGTGAAGCAACGTACAATTCAAAGTTAAAGATCAAGTTCAAGCTTCATCCGCGAGATTACCAAGTAGAGCTTATTGAAGACCAATCAAGCTTGGGTAACTTAGTTTAGGATTTATATTATGTGTGTTAAGTACGTTAAGCTCAATATCTATACACACACATTATGTTGGTTTTCATATATATATATATATATATATATA